GAGTGATATCTATAGATATCACTATGTCGTAGCTACAGTATCTATACGTAACTGTACCTATCATGTAGAGTGATATCTATAGATATCACTATGTCGTAGCTACAGTATCTATACGTAACTGTACCTATCATGTAGAGTGATATCTATAGATATCACTCTATGTCGTAGCTACAGTATCTATAGGTAACTGTACGTGATCATATCCTATCATCGGCATGCTCGTGGTTTACTGACGTTTACGCTCAGTTTCAGTTTGTGAACTCGTTCCTGTCACTCTTCTACATTGCCTTCTACATACAAGACATGGAGCGCTTGAGGGAGGTAAGTGACAGTAGCACGTTCTAACCAGTCCCTATCCTTACAGCTCAGCCCCAACCAACAACACGAGCAGTGGCGTTGGATTCCGTCACCGTGCCCTTACCATAGATATATACAAAAATACATAGATAGATACTTATCTGTGTGTGTGTGTGTGTGTGCGTGCGTGCGTGCGTGCGTGCGTGCGTGCGTGCGTGTTTGTATATATCTATGGCCTTACGTTTGGGTGTTTGCGACAGCACTGAATCTGTTGTTTGGCGAGCCATTCTGCTCTTGCTCGGGTGAGACATCTGGGACGAAGTGTAATTGTAAATACTCGGCTCTTACAGTTGGAATAATGACCACCTTTGTGAAGCACGCAGGCTATTACAGTTGGCAATGGAACAGTTGGCAATATAGCATTTAGCAATGTTACAGTTGGCAATGGAACAGTTGGCAATATAGCATTTAGCAATGTTACAGTTGGCAATGGAACAGTTGGCAATATAGCATTTAGCAATGTTACAGTTGGAAACGTTACTGTTGGCAACAGTATGGTTGGCCACGTCATGATTGGCAATGTTGCAGTTGGCAATAGAACAGTTGACAACGTTACAGCTGGCAATATAACAGTTGAAAACGTTACAGTTGGTAATAGATCAGTTGGCAATGTTACTGTTGGCAACAAAACAGTTGGCAACAGTAAAAACATCTCACGTCGCTCGCGCGCGAGACGTCTAATTGTATTAATTTTAATCCGCCTCGTTTAATTAACAAAATTCGAGCCGCGGCGACGACTCGACACTCACCACCGGAGAAAACAAAACAATCTAATCAAGGACGTTCGTGTCACCTTAAATACCCTCCGCAGACGAACAGAATGTAGAAATACAGAATATAGAATATAGATGTAGAATATAGAATGTAGC